AGCGCGGCGGCAGCGCCCGCAGCAGCAGGGATCTCAGCCGCCCGCCCGGGAAATTACACGCCCAGGAGCAGCCGGGAGAGCAAGCAGCCTTCGCGCCCTCCTCCGCCCCAGCAAAACCCCAGCAGCGACGCTCGAGCTCGATTTTGCATCTGATTGGGTTTTTTTCCTGCCCCCCTCGAGGGTTCTCCCTTTTCCTGCCAGACTGACTCGCACCCTCTCGATAATTTATCCCCCCCCGTCGGGTTTTTTTTTCTTCTCCTCTTCTCCCTGCTTCCAAACCCCGTGTCTGTGTGTTTTAACAACATCACCACCTCTGCTTACAACCAACCAGCCAACCAAAACCCTTCCTCCTCTCTGACCCCATCCAACACCCCTTGTTAAGGTGAGTTGTGTCTTTTCATCACTTTTTCTCCCTTGTGTGCTGTTTCCCCCACCCCCTAGCCGGGCAGCTTGAGGGGGACGGGGAGTGGATTTCAGGGGGCTCCCATCCCAGCATGTTTGCAACGCCTTTATTTTCCCTTCTGCAGCCTCAGCATCATTCCGCCCTGCTCCTTTATCCCAAGGATGTAGCCAGCTGCTGGAAGTGGGGAGCTACTTTTCCTTAGCCCTGCACGCTTGGGAGCAACTGCAACAGCAGCAACACAAAGCTGCCCCTTTCCCTCCCCCTCCTCTGTTTGTTTATTTTTGCTTGGTTTCTCTCGCTTTCTCTTTTCTTTCTTTCTATTTTTTTTATTGTAATTCTCAGGGGACTTGCAAAGGATTGCATGGGAGGTGAGGGAGAGCGAGCGTATGTGTGCGCTGGAAGGGTGCATTTGTACTTGTGGTGGTGGGATGAGCGATAAAGCTTCCACGCAGCCAAGGAGAGGGGGACAGCAGCGATTGTTGATGGAGAAATTGATCAGGGCTTCAGGAAGGCTGCACAGCCCTTGTAGTGTTCGCGTCTTGCGCTCCAGGACACCCCTTATATCATTGCTGGCACCTTAATAGTGATGGCTCCCGCTCTTCGGCTGGCGTCTCAGTAGAGTAGTGAACAGAGGGAAAACTTTAGTGCTACCTTGAATTGCTAGTGTGGCTTTTATTCTAGCAGTGTAAGATTTCAATCCTGCAGTGGTGAAAACAGCACTGCAATCCAGAACAACCGGATCGTTGAGTGTCACATGCTCGTTATTAGTAACGAAACAGATACAAAGCGCTATTACTTTAGCCAGCTACTAGAAGTATTGCGTCAACGTTTACTTTCCGCTTGCGGAGTTGTACTGTATTAGACTGTTTTCTTCAGCTGTTCAGCTGACTGTTCGTATAAGAGAATTGAAAAAAGACACTAATTTCTGCAGTAAAATAACCTATTTTAAATGACTGGGGAAACTACTTTTTAAAGTGGCTATCAATCTGTTCCAGTGATTTTTTACAGTTTTATGTGCTTTCAGCTATTTTACTGGGGTGTTTGAAGTGGAGTACTATAGACTAGCAGCATTTTGATAAAGTATTAAATCATAACATGCAGCAATGTTATCTGTAACAAGGTGTCATTCAAAACAGAGCAAAATTAAAAAAAACCTAGCTCCTCTGCATAGATTTTTTCATCGTAGTGTTTGTATCAAAAATTGCATGCAGTTTCCTTAAAGAACTTGCAGCATTTTAAAAAAAAATCAAAATAATTCTCAAGTATTTATAGTTCAAATAGTGTTGTATTACATTTGCCTGAGGTGTAAAACAATGAATTTGTGTGGAAGAGTAAACAGATCTACCACATGTTCAAATGCATTTTCCTTCAATATTTTTTGCAACTCCAAGTTTAGACATGAACTAAAAAGATTGCTACTATCTGTAGTTAGAGGCCTTCCTAGTGTGGATTTTTATAAGTGCAATACTTCTTGTTTGATGGCAATACAATACATTTATATTACCTGTTTAGTACATGTAATTTAAAAATAGCCAATCTTTTCACATGCTATATATGGATGATGTTCTGCAAAAATGATCAATTGTGGAAATATATTGTTATGCTAATAAGAATACATCTTTCATCATTTCTTTTTCTTGCTAGTCTACTTAAATATTTTACACTTATACACATTTGCTTTGGGGTTTTGTGCCACAGTTGTCAAGTTTGTGCTGAAGAGAATGTATGGATATGTCCTTAAATGCTTTTGCCATTCTTAATGTCCATGATAGAGTGGGGAAGAGTAAAACACTTAAGTCCTTTGATGGGAGGCATTCAACAATGTGAGAAAGACAGAAAAATCAGAGAAGTGCATAAGTAGTTACAAAATAAAGCACACAGTAGCAGTATACATGTAAGCTCGTAAACAGCTGTGTTGCTAATCTCTTGATTATCATTTAAACACAGTATTTATGGTGAATCTCTATTGAATATCATACAAGTTTTGGGGGAGTTAGGAAATATTCCATTCATCAAATCACATTTAACCCAGGACACTCATTCCTTTTCTGATAAAAGCCCTGCCTAATGGCTTGATTTGGAGAAGTCTTGAATACCTGCAGCTGTTATTGAGGTCACTGGAATTTGCAAGAGCTCAGTCAGCACCTTTAAGGATCAGGCATTTTGTCTTCTCAAGAGGTAGAGTTTATCCAAAAGATAACATTGCCAAGGTCTTTAATTAATCACTCATTCAGTTTTTATGTATGGTGAATCTGGATATGTTTGTTCTATCACAAAGAAAACTAAAAGTTTATGGCCACTGCACACGAAATTTTAATATTGTTAATCTTAGACTATTTTTTAATTCTACAGTCACTTGTAAAATAGAAAATGTTCACTAGCTCATAAATCTATTTTGCAGATTGCAGTAGTTAGTTGATTATTGCTATAGGCAAGGCATTTAAATAATATATAAAGTATGACATACACAGAGGAAGGGTTGAGTTTATCTGTTTCTGTATCATCATAGAGCAGAAAAAAAGTGATGTCTTCATTTGTACATGGAAATCATTTTTACCAACACAGTTTGGAGGTCATGTCCTTCCACTTGATGCCACATTTGAAATCCTACTCCCCATTAACTGCAGTGATAGAAGTTTTCCCCATGAGCTGCAGTGATAGAAGACTCAGGCTTGCACAAATTGTTCAGTGCTATAGTATCTTCTGAGGAAGCTTTCTTTTAATTTATTGTTTCAGAATTGAGTAAAACGTGGATTTATTGACACATCAAGTTTTTTGTTATTGCTAAAACATGTTCATTAAAGGCCTAATTTACTGTACCTGAACTAATAGGAATAGTTATAGAGTTTAGAAGTCTAGTTGACTATAGAACTTACTGTTCTGAAAATAGGTAGGGTTGTTCTCTGTTGTCATCTAACTAAATATTTTCTTCTAATCTTCTGCATCATTGTTCATCTGCAAGTTCTATTGGAAGTAATTTATGGTGTATATAGACATTTTAACATATTTTCATTACTGAAGAACATGAATGTTCTGTTTGTACCTTAAATTACAACTACTTTTGTCAGTTTCAGTAGACTTTAATACAATACTCTGTTCTTCCTTATGGGGAAAAATTGCTATAATATTTACACTTTTAAAATATATACATATTAATTGTGTACTTCTTTTCCTTGGAAATTGGCAAAATGGTGTTTTGGAATCATGCAGTTTCCAGTTAGAGTAAATGTTTCAAAATAATAGTGTGGTACATATGAAAACCACTTAACACATTTTCCCCTACAGTATTACACTTTGTGCTAGCTTAGCATGGTAATACATGTTTGTTTTAGTCTGAATTCACACTTGTAATTGTAAAAAAATAGAATGATATTAAGATACATCATATTATTTTATATAAAATCATCGCTTTCCTAACAGACAATAGTTTAAAAAGAAATAATATTTTAGTAATAAATGGCATTTTTCAGCCATATATACTTACACAAAGAGGATAATGAGTGCTTAGCTTCAGGGAATTATATGTAGCCCTGTTGAAATACCAAGATCTTAACAGCTACATGTGTGGTTAGATTCCCAATGCTGTTGGTGAACTTGAGTGAATGGCAGTAGTGACAAGTTTATATACCTAGACAGGTCACTGTCTCTTGGGGCAAACAAAATATAAGAGGAAGGATGGTTGAGCAACATTATGCTGTAGGGCTAAAAACACCAAGTGGTTGCTTAATGTTCAAGATTAGTGAGGGTCCTCTGTTTCAAAAACAGTGTTTGTAATAGTCTGTTTAGTTCTTTGTATTATAATAGATCTGGAGAATTTAAAAAGTAGTAGTACCAAATATCTTCTCTATTGAGAAGCATATATATATATATATGGTCAGTGGAAAAATAGTTGGGAGAAATTAGGTTATATTATTTGTATAGACCTATTCTAAACTTGTTTAATTACTTACAGTTTCAGTGCATTTATATACATCTCTTGTTCACTTATGTAGGTTAGAGTTCACATAGTTTGTTGGGGGAGTATGCGTAGAGTGAAAAGGAAGGAGAAAAAAATATAAGCATTAAATTTACAAAATATTAGAATGAAGCAAAAAGAGCCAAAGATATTAATAACACCAGCACCAATGGCAAATTGGGTTGTAATCAGTGTTCCCTCTAAGCTTTGCAGTAGCACAGCTTCACAAGTGATTAACCAATCCCACCCAGTCAGTCAGCTCCATGCAGGAAGCCCTCAGCCTCTGACTGGGTGGGGCTGATTAATCACCTGTGAAGCTGTGCAGCTAGGCAGCTTAGAGGGAATGCGCTGGTTGTAAGGTGTGTGAGATTTCAAACAATTTAAACCTTTCTGACAGCTGACATACATTTAAAGTGAAGAAACTTGAATTTACAGTGAATATATTTTCTTTCCATAAAATATTTTAAATAAATATATTTGAAATATATTAAGTATATAACATTGCTATTATGCCTTCAGATGTTCACATAATTCGAGAAGGTTTACATTAATGGGAATGCTTTAAAATGACATTTCAGTCACATAATTGGGGTATGCAGATATATTAATATTTGACCATTCATGGGCTTTTTATGTAAGTACTAAAATTACTTAAATATTGTGATCAAATTAATAAAAATATGTATTTATTTATTTTTTTATACGAAACCTTGTTTAATTGCTATTTCTAGTTTCATTAAAGAAGAAGAATAAAAAGTACATATCTTGTTTTGTTAATTTTGACCTGTTTTTTCTTTTGTGTTCCTCTAAATAAATGTTTATTTATTTTATTATGAACTTTTTATTAGGCCATTGATTCATGATGAAAACCCAGCCCTGTTGTCAATTGTTTTTAACATTCCAAATGGTATTGTTCTACCTTATATAAATACTTTCTTCAGTGTCAGTCACATGCCTTGTACACATAAAATTCAACATTCTTTCGATTTCAGTGAGACTTTACATTCAGGTGTATATACTATTA